TCTTTCCTTTCTTGGATTCAGGTAAATTGGCGTTGCTTGTCCAATCCATGCTACCATTGTTGCCCAGAACATGCTTGCTCTGGTCATCCCCATCTAAATCCTCTTCATTTTGTTTGCCTTATTTGACATTTATTTTGTCAGATTTCATGTTATGGTTTATTTAAGATACATGGCTTAGCTCATTTATATTATTTGGCTTGTGTGAATAAGAGAATTCGGTTTTCAGCAGAGGTCTCGTCATTAATGCAACTGGCCTTAAGACCTCTCTTATCCTTTTCAGTGGAACTTGGCCAGTGGCAAAACAGTCTTGTAGATTTGGAACTTTTCTTCCAACATCACCTGCCTCCTTCATGGGATCCATGTTGTTGATTCCAAAGGACTCAATGTTAGAATGTATTCTTGAATGTTGGGACCAGTTTAAATTAAATGGGCTTAAGAAGAGGAAATTGATGCTTCTATGTAATACTGTTTGGCCTTGATATTATTTGGAAAAACAAGAAAAATGGCCACCTACTGGAACTACAGCCTTGAATACTATACTTCAACTCGATTTGTTTTGTAAGAGGGAAGGGAAAATGGGATGAAATGCCACATGTTCAAGTATTTTTGTTGCTCAGTCAGGAGAAAACCCTGTAGCAGGCATGTGCATGTTTGATGAGAGGAAAGGAAGAAAAAGAACTAGGATAACAGATGATCCCTTGATGCAAGCACCCCAGGTTCAGCGGGCATTTTTGGGTGAAGCAGAACCTCCTCTGTCAGCTCTGAATATTCAGTGCATTGGCCTCTTCTCCTTTTAGTCCACCTGGAAGTTGTATTGAAACCCCTACATCCCCTTCCCCTTACTTGTCTAGTCCTACTTTATACCCACCACTTCCTGAAGAATCTAGCCTTGCAGGTACTACTTGTAGTGAAGCCTCTTTTTAATCTCCAAAGGGAAATCTTTGTCCACTTAGACAAGTGGCAAACAGAGAAGAAGGCACTGTAAGAGTACATGTCCCCTTTTCTATGTCTGATGTGGCTCTATGTAAAGAGAAGTTTGGCCATTTTTCTGGAAAATTCAGGAAAATTCATAGATGAGTCTGAGTCATTATGTAACTGTTAAGTATGCCAGACTTTAAATCCAGCTGCCTATCTGCCTGAACCCACAGGCACCCTATATCATTTTTTTTTTTTTTTTTGAGATGAAGTCTTGTTCTTGTTCCCCAGGCTGGAGTGCAATGGCATGATCTCGGCTCACTGCAACCTCCACCTCCCAGATTCAAGTGATTCTCCTTCCTCAGCCTCCTGAATCGCTGGGATTACAGGTGCCTACCACCACGTCCAGCTAATTTTTATATTTTTAGTAGAGATGGGGTTTCACCATATTGGCCAGGCTGGTCTTGAACTCCTGACCTCAGGTGATCTGCCTACCTCGGCCTCCCAAAGTGCTGGGATTACAGGTGTGAGACATCGCACCCTGCCAATCATTCTTGTAAACAAGTTACGGAGCAAATTTATTCCAGCTGGCCAAATTGAAAGGCTAAGCCTCTAGATAAGTCTGAAGTAGAATGTCTTACAGATGGAAGTAGCTTTGTGCACCAGGGAAACAGAAAAGCTGGGTATGCAGTTGTCCGTCAACATGAGGTAATTGAATAGAAGCCTTACCAACTTCTACTTTGGCTCAAAAAGCAGAATTAGTAGCTCTTATTAGAGCCCTGCAACTGGAAAAGGACTTAAGATCAACATTTACACTTCCTGGTACTTCATGCTCATGCTGCTATCTGGGAGGAACTGCTAAGGGCTCCTCTGTGCAGCATCACTTGGAAAATTTAAATCTATTAGATGTTGTTTTGCTGCCCAAGAAGTAGGTGTAATCTGGTTCAGAAGACATCAAAAATGAGACTGTAGTGTGACAAAGGGAAACTCCTTTGCAGATGCTGCAGCTAAGGCTGCTGCATTAATGGAGCCAGTTGGACTTGTAGGCATATTAGTGCCTACCAGCCCAGTAATGACAGAACCGAGATATACCGAGAGAAATAAGAATGGGCTAAAGGTCAGAGTTTAATTCAAGATTCTTCTGGCTGGGTAATCAGTGACAACAAACTGTTGATCCTGGGTGCTAATCAGTGGGAAATAGTTAAGCATTTGCATGATTCTACTCATTTGGGAAGAGATTCTCAATTTCAGTTAATGTCTCATCTTTTTTAAGTAAAAGGTTTATTTAAAACAGTAAAGCAGGTAACTTGGGCCTGTAAAGTCTGTGCCCAGAATAATCTGAATAACCAATCTTTACCTCCTTCTTCAGTAAGGCTTGTTCAGCTTAGGGGAATATACCCCAGTGAAGATTGGCAAGTAGACTATACTCAGATTATCCCATGTAAAGGGTTTAATATTTAGTTATTCATCGACACCTTTACCAGTAGGATTGAGGCTTTCCCTACCTGGTCTGAAAAGACAATTGAGGTTTCTAAACTGCCATTGAAGGAAACAAGTCCTAGATTTGGCTTGCCTAAGAGATTGCAGAGTGATAATGACCCATCTTTCACAGTGACAATACTCCAAAATATATCTTCAGGCCTAGGAATCCAGTACTGCCTTCATTTAGCGTGGAGGCCGCAGTTTTCAGGGAAAGTAGAAAGAGCCCAATCAAACGCTAAAAAGGACTCTTTCTAAACTATAACAGGAAACATCAGCAACCTGGCTGTCTTTATTGCCTGTAGCCTTGTTACAGATTCCAGTGGCCCCCTCCAAGGGAAATCTGCAGCTCAGTCCTTTTGAAATAATGTATGGAAGGCCTTTCTTAACTACATACTTCCTGATAGATACTTTCATGCTACAAAGTTATGTAATCAACTCAGGACAAGTGCAAAAGACACTCCTTGGATATGGAAACCAAAGACTCCTTCCCCAACTAAGGAAGAGAATCCTATTATAACCCAGCTGGGAGGTTGTATCCCATTAAAAACTTGGGAGGAAGGATTTCCAGCAGATCAACTTTCCCCCAAATGGAAGGGACCCTAGCAAGTTCTTCTTAGTATCCCAACTGCAGTTAAACTTCTAGGAATAAACAACTGGGTCCACTTATCTTGAATTAAACTTGTTTCTTATGACGTCCCACAGGTCGACCGAACACAAGACACTAATACCACTTACTCCCGTGAATCAACCAGTGACCTCTGGCTCCTGTTCAAAATAAACAAAAGGGATTGGCAACACAAAGACAGGGATTGGCATCCTACTTTTGGGTATAAGTTGGAATCACACAGAGAGTAACTTATTTGCTGAGTGGGCACAGACTTTAATTTCTCTACATAATCGGACAAACTGTTGCGTATGTGGAGAATTGCCACTTTCCTCTACTTCTGGTTTGCCCTCGCATATTCAACTGGCCAACCTAAGTTTATGGGGACTTTATTATGATTGGGAAACTGAATATTGTAAACATATTCTCTCTTTTCCCATGTACCACAGCCACACAGACCTTAGTCCTTTCCTTTGCTATGGAGAGAAAAAAAGGCACTTTTTCATGTCATTAGGAAACAGCTAAACTCCACCCCAACTTTAGGTTATATTGTACATGATGGACTTAGGCAGATGACAGCTGTTCAAGTACTGGTATCAGGCAAAGGATCTCTATGTTTTGAAAGGTGCAATAATAGTCACCACCACACTGGAACACATGATATCGGATGGTTGCTGCCTCAACAATATAATCAGACCCTTCTTTTAACAGACCATATTTGGTTGGGATGGCAACATAATTCACCAAAAATGGGTGCCTACCCTTCCCCTTGGGGATGGTTATGGGCTTGTGGAACCCATGGCTGGCCATACTTTTACCTTATAATTGGACTGGACAGTGTATGTGGGGTCATCCTTATCTCCCAGGACATATCCTCACCAAATTGAACTCTCTCTCATCTAACTGGGAAATTGTAAAGGCTCGGCGTACATGACAAAAATGGGCATTTTTGTGGTTCTACCTGTAGGCTATATTTTCCTCACAGGCGCCATGATGGATATCGAGCTGCAAGTAGAAACCCTAGCCAAGCACATGGCTGCAACTTTCAATAATACTTACCATGCCTTACCTTCCTAACTTAGGAAACTTCTCAGATTAGGCAGGTGACCTTACAAAATTATATGAGTTTGGAATTTTAACAGCAACCTGAGGGGAAACTTGTGCTTTGTTCAAAACCGAATGTTGTGTGTATGTTCTGGACAGTATACTTAATATTACCCAGTCTATGAAAGCTTTAGACACTCATATCTCTGTCATTGATGCGCTATCAGACGACCCTATATCAGCTTGGTTCCAAAAACTGCCCAGTTCTCGGCAAGCCTTCCTGTTTAGTTTACTTGGGATGATTTTACTATTTTGCCTTGCTGTTGTGAATATACTGCTGTTGTACTTTTTGTGTAGGAATGCAAGATAAGCTTACTCAACGCTTTCTTAAATTGAACACTTGTTAATCTTCCAGATATCCCTTTTGCTGGGACTCAGAGTTACAAATGGCCCTCACCATACTGATGCTTTCTGACTGAGCTCCTCTCTACCGTCCTTTCTACCTGAATATGAGACCCTAATAGGTAGGTAGGAATATCATTGCCCCTGTTCAGCATGAAGTTACAGAAGATGGATCTTCATTCTTCTGCAACCCCGATTACGGGTCCTCTTGTAAAAGGGATGGGGGAAATATGTCAGAAGCATTCGAACCAGAGTGATTCCATCTTGAATTGACTCCATCTAGAAGAATAAGGCTGGGACTTGCTGGGCTGCATTCCCATGGGGTTAGGTATTCCTAGCCTCTAGATATTTAAGGTTAAGGGAACAGATTAAAAATGTTTACTAAACAGACCCAGGCCCAGGAATGACCAATATCCTGACATCTTGAGAACAAAGACATTCCTAATTTTGCTTTAAACAGAATAATATCAATTCTTGCAAAATATAGTATTTGAGAAAATTAGTCCTTTATCACAAACCCTTGTAATAGAGCACATCTCCCTGTGATTTTTTTTTTTTGTTGTTGTTGTTATCCTATATATAAACAAGCACTGTACTTACGGTGGGTGCATTCCTCCTCTTACTTTTGGGAATGATCTACTCTGTCTATGGACTATTTCACTCCTTCACTTTCTTAACAACCTTACTTTCACTTTGCACTGTGGACTCATCGCAAACTTTTTCTTGCGCAAGATCCAAGAATCCTCTCTTGGGGTCTGGATCAGGACCCTTTTTTGGTTACAGAAACAGACAGACAAAGGAGTGGAAAAACAAAAGGGATAAACAGAAAATAGCAAATTTGAATATATCATTTTATATCTTTTTTATCAGTCTCTTAGTCCCGAGAATAGATCAGTTCAGTTAAACAGCTATGTCCCATTCCAGGAGGTGGCATTACAGATGGGTTAGGACTCTATATATGAAGCAGGCAAACAGATTTTTAATAAAAGGTGTTTCTACGAAAACAGAAGAGAAACAAAGGTTAATATCTACTGTAGACTATACACTAGTTTTTTGAGAGTCTCTATAGTTCTTCAGATTGTAGTGTTAATCTGACAGAGTCTCCTGGTTGTAGTTTAAATCAGGTCTTGCAGTGAACTTTCTGAGTATTCCATACATCAACAAACAAAAAGGCTGTTTATATATAAGTTGCTATAGTGATTTTTCCCATAGTTTATTTAAGTTGTCTTGCTGCAGTCTGCAGGGCTTCAAGAAAAGCATAGTTTTAACTTCTACTTATTCCAAGTCAGAAAAACAGGAGAAAAAAATTTAAATGTTAGCTTGGAGACTTGTAGCCAGGAAAGAATTCAAGATTTAGTTCAAATGTAGGCAAATAATTAAAACTTAAAAACAATGGACAAAGCTAGAATCTAACAACAGGTACGCTATCATTTTCTTCTGAAACATAATTTTCTCTCTCCAGTCCCCCTTTTCTACTAAAGGCAAATCATAGTAGGACCAATTTATTTGCAAATAAGTTTTAGTTTTATTATATTTGGCCTGATTATTTGCATAAACTACAGCAAAAATAGTGTTCACTACATAGAGACTCTTTTAAAGTTTGGCTTTGTTGGAACTTTTTCATAAGGAATTTCATATTCAACTTTTTAAAACTCTCAACACTAAGAAGCCAAGACAAGGATTCACCATCAGACTGTACTTGTAATTCCTGTGTAAGTTGGATACACTCCTCTCTTGTCAAGGTCCTCAAAATATCCTGAGGCTCCTGGGCCTGCCAGAGAGTGACATTCTTTACTACCGCAAGGTCAGGAACCTTGTAAGGAAACTGTGTAGGCAAGGTACCAGGCTAATTTTTCCAACAGGCTTTTTATAGGCTCTATAAAGTCAACTTGAAATCCTCAAAGCAGTCTGGTCATTAAAAAATTATGCCATTTCAATGAAAGCCTTGGCAAAATAATTAGTGTATCTAACTGTGTTCTGTTACAAAAGAAAACAGATCCTTATTGAATTTGTACAAATAACTATATTGCCAAAAGTGAAGAATACTCACAAATACTTTCCAAATTCTGGAGACATCAGGTAGACAGAAAGGTTAGTGTTTCAATTGTTCTCACAAAAGTGTAATTTATCCAATTACTGTAAGCTATGAACAGCTCAAAAGAAAAAAATAATTTTCTTGAATCTGGAAAACAAAACATAAAAACTATCAGCAATGTTTGAAACCAAAAAAAGGTTATGAAAATATTATTTTGGCATTGTATCAGTTCAGCCCCATGTAACTAACTTTTATTCTGCTTGATGTTGGATTAGCAATCTTCATTAATTTATTAGCTTTTACAAAATTATTTTAGAAGTTTTTAACTAGTCCAATGGTGTGAATTCCAAAGTTATCAGAAAACTGTGTTTAAGAGTACTTGCCAGGGCCCTTTCCATGTTTGTTTGTTTTTTTTTTTTTTTTTTTTGAACAAGTAAATTTTAGACTGTAGCCAATTACAAACCAGTTTTGAAAAGAATCCAAGTAAAACAATAATCATCTGTGAATGACAAAAGACTTAGAAGAGCCATGATTACTGATGCAACTGACAAGGAAATTTCATTATTTCTGTGGTATACAATAATTTAACAGGATAACAATTATTACTAATAACATATAACAAGATCTATCAACATTTTAGCAATATGATACAATTTTGGGATGCATATTAATAACAGATTTATACAAATATAACTCAGAGAAAATTAAGCAACATTTTTTATTTGATCAGCTTCCTGTATGATTTTAATATACCAAATTAGACTAATATGTTTCTCTTGGACTTCCAGGGGTCCTATTTGGACTTCCAAAGGTTTTAAGTCCCAGAAGTTAGCTTGAGGTCAAAAACATTTAATTTAGAATTTTAAATTTGATTTTGGAAAGTTTGTCAAATATCAGAGGTTTAAAACACTTGATCAAAATAAGATTACAGGTCACTGTAAGATAATAGTTATTCATTTAGCCAAAGTGATAATTCAAAAATTTCAAAAAGCAAAAACTTTACTCTTTGACAGAGAGGAGACTCAGTTTTCTAAACTTCAAAAGACATAATAAAAACAGCATTAGGGAAATTATCTCCTCTTATTAGTAGTATTTTTGCAGTTTACTCAAAAGGTAAACAAAAATCTTTTACTATGTCTTATTAATATATACAAAAATCTTGTTCAAAAGAGAAATCCAAATTCTAACTTTGTGCCAGTGTATTATAAATGCTAAAGCTAATTTTAATAAAGCCTTATAAACAGATCAATCCAACTGCAATTGTTTTCTTTTCCTTTTTTTGTTTTTGTTTTTTGGAGACAGGGTCTTACTTTGTCACCCAGACTAGAGTGCAGTGGTGCAATCTTGGCTTACTGCAACCTTTGACCCCCGGGCTCAAGCGATTGTCCCATCTCAGCCCCCCAAGTAGCTGAGACTACAAGTGTGTACTACCATGCCAAGCTAATTCCTTTTGTATTTTTGGTAGTGAGAGAGTTTCACTATGTTGCCCAGGATGGTCTCAAACTCCTGAGCTCAAGTGATCTGCCCATCTCAGCCTCCCAAAGTGCTGGGATTACAGATGTTAGCCACTGCATCCAGCCTGCAGTTGGTTTTGACTGCACAAGAAAAAACATAAAAGGGTTCCATGAACCTTTTATAACCTCTTATAATTGTTACCGTTTTATTTCTTTCCTCAATTTTCTATGTCCATTCACTTTCAGGTCCTTAAAAAAATAGCAGAGATAGTGTAAACCTGTCTGACAAACAGACCCAGAAAAAATATCTAAATTAAATTCAGAAGATGTTTCCATTTTATTTTACCCCAAATTTTAAACTATCTTCATTTACCACAGATTACTAATGCCTTGTGAACTTGAAAAGCATTTGGGCTTATTTACTTAATTTATGAGTACTCATTTATTTATGTCAAGTTGCTACCATACAGGCAATATATAAACATAGACACATATCCATAAATTATAAATACAAATACTTTATATCATTTTTTCTTTTTTTGAGACAGAGTTTCACTCTTACTGCCCAGGCTGGAATGCAATGGTGCAATCTCGGCTTACTGCAACCTCCGTCTCCTGGGTTCAAGCCATTCTCCCGTCTCAGCCTCCCAAGTAGCTGGGATTACAGGTGTGTGTCATCATGCCTGGCTAATTTTTGTATTTTTAGTAGAGACACATTTTTAGTAGAGATATTTTTAGTTTCCCCGTGTTGGCCAGGCTGGTCTTGAACTCCTGACCTCAGGTGATCTGCCCCCCCTTGGTCTCCAAAAGTGATAGGATTACAGGCATGAGCCACCGCACCTGGCCTATGTCTTTAAAATTTTAGCCATGAGACCAGTAAAACTCGTTAGTTCAAAAGGACAGTTGAATTCAAATGCAGCTTTGTAAATGGAAAGGTTATAGTTTGTCTGTCTTTCATGGCTGAAGATCTTACCAAGTTTTAAGAAAAACAGCATAGCAAATTTACATCTCAAAACAGAGAAAATTAATTTAAGCATTTTCAAGAAGAAGTTTGGGTATGTTAGAGAAAGATTAAAAATGGACAAGTGATATAGTTTGAGTATTTGTCCCCTTCAAATCTCATGTTGAAATGTTATCCCCAGTGTTGGAAGTTGGGTCAAGAAGGAGGTTTTTGGGTCATGGTGGCAGGTCCCTCACGAATGGCTTGGTGCTGTCCTTGTGGTAATGAGTGAATTCTTGTTCCATTAGCTCATGTGAGAGCTGGTTTTAAAAAGAGTCTAGTGTCTTTCCCACCTTTCTCTTGCTCCTTTTTTGGCCATGTGATGTGCCTGCTCCTCCTCTTCACCTTTCACTGTGATTGTAAGCTTATTTTTATTTTCTTTCTTTCTATTTCTTTTCTTTTCTTTTTTTTGAGATGAAGTGTCACTCTGTTGCCCAGGCTAGAGTACAGTGGTGTGATCTCAGCTCACTGCAACCTCTGCCTCCCAAGTTCAAGCGATCCTCCTGCCTCAGCCTCCTGAGTGGCAGGGATTACAGACACATACCACCATGCCCAGCTAATTTTTGTATTTTTAGTAGATTAGGGGTTTCACCATGTTGGCCAGGCTGGTCTCGAACTCCTGACCTCAAATGATCCATCCATCTCTGCCTCCCAAAGTGCTGTGATTACAGGCATGAGCCTCCGCACCCGGCCAATTGTAAACTTCTTGAGGTCGTCACCAGAAGCAGATGCTGGCATCATGCTTCTTGTACAGCCTGCAAAATAGTGAGCCAAATAAACTTCCTTCCTTTAAAAATTACCAAGCCTCAGGTATTCCTTGATAGCAACACAAAACAGACAAACACACCAATGTAACATTAAATTATAGAAATTCCCATAGGATGTTAAAAAGAAAGATACAAATGAGCATAGAGGAAATTCAGAAGCCTTTTAAAAATAACTAGCTAAGCCTGTGCAACATGGTATAAAACTTTGTCTCTACAAAAGCAACAAAATTAGCCAGCCATGGTGGTGTGTGCCTGTAATAGCAGCTACCTGAGAGACTGAGGTAGGAGGATGAGGACATTGCTTGAGCCCAGGAAGTTGAGGCTGCAGTGAGCTGTGATTGTGTGACTGCATTCCAGCCTGGACAACAGAGTAAGACCCAATCTGATATGGTCTGGATATTTGTCCCCACCCAAATCTCATGTTGAAATGTAATAACTGGTGGGAGGTATTTGGATCATGGGGGCAGGTCCCTCATGAATGGCTGGTGCCATCCCCTTGGTGCCAAGTGAGTTTTTGCAAGATCTGGTCATTTTAAAGTATGTGGCAACTCCCCACACACTCTCTTTCTCTTATTTCTGTTTTTGCCGTAAGATGTACCTTTGCCTTTCACCATGATTGTAAGCTTCCTAAGGACTCCTCAGAAGCAAATGCTGGCACTATGCTTCTTGTACAGCCTGCAGCACTGTGAACCAACTTAAACCTCTTATAAATTACCCAGTCTCAGATATTTCTTTATAGCAACTGAAGAATGGCCTAATACACCGTCGGGGGGCGGGGGGAAACAAAAACCCAAAACCAAAACCAAAAACAAACACCTAAATGTCAGAAAGTCATATTTTGGAGACCAATCTAGTCATATTGGTGGCTTCTAATTTAGTCTCTGTTTTCTACTTAGACCACTGGGCTCAGGGCAGAGCCCATTAAGGAACAGGGCAAACAAAGCATTTGCAGTTTTTAGGGCCTAATATTTGTATATGTAAAAAGTAGGCACAGCTGGAAGATAGAGCATCTAGAGTTTTAAACATCAAGGATTCCACTTTTACACTGAACCCTGGGCCCCCCACAAAAGAGAGAAACACCAAAGGACTGGGCTGCACAGTGTTTCCAGAGTACACTTCACTACAAATATGTCACCCTGAGGCTGGTGTGTGTGTGTGAGGCATTAGTGAGAGTGACATATTGTGCGTGAGGCATTAGTGGGTGGGGGACCCATACCAATCAGCCCATTCTGTGATCAGCCCATCCACCATGGAAGAGTTATTCCTTGGTTGTGAGTATTCCCACAGTCTCCATGTGTTCAACTATGCCTTTTTTATAGAATAGAGCAAAGAAATAAGTAGCCTATATACAGTAGTAACTATTAATTACAACCACTGTCAGCTACCTCCAGAACTGCAGCCCTCACTAGTGATCCATCAGCCATTGCACACACAAGGTCAAATTCTCTAATAGGTCAAAGTAATTCCTTGAACCCCCAAAGCCAAAGAGACCAGGTAATGCAATGCAAAGGAGAGTGGAGCTTTAGACCTGATAAGAACTTGCCCGTGACTCTTCAAACTCTACAGGAAGACAAAAGACCATCTCCCCAAAGTGGGTGAGTGGCAGCTTTTTCTATGTTTCTTTCAGGGTCTTTAGACATCCCCACAAGATCCTTTTATGTGATATTCAAGACGGCAAAGAGAAAGGAGGAACAAAAAGTCAATGAAGTTTTACACTTTTCTCAACAAAAATCATACCACAAGAAATGAAGCAAACAAAAATACCAAATATATAATGAAAAGGAATTTCAGTAAACTAGAAAAATCCTCAGAAACAGGATCCCAAAGAAAAAAGGCAGGAAGGCCTTTAAATATATTTATTTATATAAATATATTTTTGCAGATTTATATATATATATTTATCTAAATATATTTTGCATATTTATA